TTGCTTTATTTTTTTAACCTTAGCGTTCATATTTTTCTTGGTACAGGGCACACTATCTTTATTCCAAGCCAGTTATATTATATAGCTTTATTTTTTTATTCTTTTTTTCCACTTATTCCAGTTCCCCCAAGGATGCTTGATCTAGTGTGTTTGATGTATATCCTTCAAGCCTTTGTATCTGTTTGCGAACAAATGCTTTAGCAATCTTGTCACACCGAGGCCATTGCTCCCTCAGCGGCATGTTGCACCACAGCTTCCGCCACTGCGTTGTGTTCATCCATCTGTCCCCTCGTGATGGGCCACCCCTGGCCAGTGACAGCAAAGCTATGGCCAGCACGCGATACTATTTTCACATCTAGGATAATCATTTCCCTAGGAATGTCTCCAGTCATTGAAAATACACATCCATGTTTTCACAAAATCCTGCCAGGGCTATGTTATCTGACATTCCAATTTCTGCCAACGTGAAGACGCCCAAGCATTATCTTGTATTACTAGGCAGTAGTCTGATCAGCAGGAAGTGAAGGGGCTCTTTTTTACACCTACTATCTATTAAAGTGTATCCTTTGGAGACTTACAGTTCATGTCCTTCAAGCACAGCAAAAAGGAGACTGGAAACCAGAGGGTTAAAGCATTTTAGAGGAAGTTTGCCTGCCTACCATTTACTGATTGTGTGACTTTGAGTAACTTTCTTCTGTTGCTTTACTTTAGTTTCTTCATTTGCAAAATGTAAGAACAGCAACTACATCGTTGGTGTGAAGACTGGCTGAATTAATATATGCAGAACACTTAGGAGAGTGCCTGACAGGTGAGAACCATGCTATTGTATTTACTATTAACAGTAATTAATATTTTAGATATAAAATGATATAAATCATTAAAATTATATGAAGATTATAGTAACTATTTTCTTGTTGACATCAATGAGTTTGTTATCTATTCTTGATATTTATCCTTTGTGAATTTTGGCTGTTACAAATATCCTCACCAGATCTATCATCTGTCTAGTAATGCTAACTAATGTATTTTTTCATTAAACATAATTTTTGGCTTTTGTTGTCAAACTGATTTTTGACTATATCTGTTGGGTGTTTTGATGTCTTAAGAAAACTGTTCCTCTCCAATATCACAAACAATTCTGTATTTTCTTCTTATATTTCAGTTTTCATTCCATGCTGGTCCAGGGATTAGAGTTTCTGGATTTCCCTTGAACTCCTCCATCACCAGTCTACTGGTCACGCACTCATTTCGACATAAAGTTGTGAAGTGGATTCAGAATACAGAGAAAGTTGGTAGAGAGTTTATCCATTAGTGTGGGAAATGAATGCCTAAATATTTTTTATACTGAACACATTAAGTGAGGCAATGGATGTGGGCAGGGGGCTGAGCTGGCAGGGAAGACTCTTTTGAGGACCTGGGACTTGAGCTGTGCCCTGGGTCCAGGAGAGAAGGGCATTTAGGAGAGGAGGTTTCAAGTTGGTGAGCAGAATATAGAGATGTGGGAAAAGAAGAATTTGTCTTCCTTGGCAGTGATGAGGGCCCTTCCTCTGTCAGCAAGCAGGCATTCAAGTGCAAGGTCACGTGAGATATTGAAGGCACAGAGGCACATGTTTGTAATCTGGACAATGAAGTACACAGCAAGTGTCCACCTTTTCAAACCTGGAGCTCTGAAGAAGAGGAACCCCTAAGTAGTGGTAAATGATGGCATTTCGAGAGAGGTTTCTTGCACAGTAACTGACACTTGGCAAGAGCTTGACAATATTTAATGAATAAATGAACACGTGGATATGGAAGCAATAATCAGATACTCCAAAGGGAACATTCTCTGGACAGCTGGAATAGAGCGCAAGCGAGGGATGGAGACTGGTATTTCCACACCCCAAATCCACTCCAGCACCCACCGAGAGAAGGAATATTAGTAAAGTGACAGAGGCGTAATTAGAGGGGTAGAAAACAAGGAAAATCAGTACCTCAGAGTCTTAGAGTTTGAAGAAATTTTGTGGCATCATCAAATGCCACATGAATCACTTAGTGGTCAGGGGTAGGGTTTTAGAGAACAGAGCACAAGCAGAGTGTTTAATTATATTTATTGACAGGGGAGGGCATAAAGGACAGGGAATATGAACAAGGCACTCTGCACTGGTTTTCCAAGGTGTTAGAATACATCAGGGAGTGTTTCTCAAGAACTGACAGCAGCCCCACCCTGATGGGTGCACAGAAGGGTGGCTAAGCACAGGATTCTGCCCCATTCTACAAGATGAGATGACCTGAGTGTCAAACCTGAGATCAGAAAGGACTGGGAAGTAATTGGGTTTTGGAAACCAAGAAGTTACTTAATACCTTTTGCGAAAGCTTCAAAGTCCCTCACCTCCCTCCCGTTTTGCATAGATTTAAGGATTGTGTTTCAATTACCTTTAAACTAAGAAGTCAATATGTGATCCCATTAAGCAATCTTATTAAGGCTAACTAATGAGTCACAAACTATTTGGGAGGCTACTACGTTCATGCAAGCAGAATTAATGGGCTTTTTATGAACAGTTTGTGTGCTATGAGGAGAGCCACTTCCACAGTTAGGGTTCATCTCAGCCTGGTGCTGTGTGACGGGACAGCCATAAAGACCTGAGGTAGGCGATGGTCAAGGAGGAAAAGAACCACCGGCTCTCGGTTTTCTAAATTTGCTAAGAGAGTATCACGCATCCTCTTCTCCATGCAGCTGCCAAATGTCTGATTGCATCTACCTGAGTCCTAGGAAGAGGTGAAACGCTGGGAAGACAGTAGAGGCCACCACATGGGAGAACTATGAGGTCAGCTCATCTCTACACCCGGCACATAATGTTTCCAAAGTTTTTATTCTCAATAAAAACAGGAGGATGCTTCAGCTGCTTTGAAAAGAACAGTGGGGTCTTAGCCAGGCAAGTCAGTCTATTTCTAAGAATTCAAAATGTTCAGTTATGCAACTGGTCTGAGATAAAGCACTAAGCCTCAGTCATCTTTAAACTCATCAACGTCAAATAACATTAATAATTCCCCAAGGCTTCTCTTCAGTGGGCCACCAGAATGGGCCATGGGGTCACGCTGGGACTTTTCTCATGGCCCGATGACTGACTTCTTCATGTTGCAGAGGGCTCAGAATTCTGAACCTGCACACTCTTCCCCTGGAGCCAAGAAGGATGGATGCGGGATTCAGGCTCACTCAACAGCTGCCCCAGCTTTGTCCAGAGGAGCAAATGGTGTCAGCAACAGCATGGGGCTCGGAGCTTCTCCCACCCCAGGGGCCCTGGTTATGCTGAGATATTGTTAGAAATTCAAATTGCGAGAGGGTGATTTCAACCCAGGTTTAAATACAAACCTATAATGATATTGGTGAGAATGCCAGGTAATTGTATGTTTAATTAAAGAAGTACAAGCATTCTTTAGGTGAAGGTCTTTTGAGCTATGTGAAGTGCTAAGAGCTACTGGGTTTGTAAGAGAAATCTTAAATATGAAGAGGGTCCCTGGATGGAAGTCATCTGGACTAGAACACAGCTACAGACTTACAGTATATGCGATGATAGGTTGGTGAGCAGGGATCTTGGATTAGACTGGGAAAGTGAAGTGGGAAGAACTACTCTATTACCTCAGAAGCCCTTGAAACTACTAGCTCATCTTTTAGAAAATGCACAGAAATGGAGAATGTTCACTCCATAGTCAAGGGCCTTCCTATAGAATACCACTATCCCTTCTCTACCCCCTCATCCTCTTAATTTTCAGAGGGAAAATCTTGGATCTTGAAAACTCCTGAAACAAAGAATTGGATTATGTTTATTTGGCATTTAAAATTTTTCAACGGCTGTAAGCCAGGACAAAGCAGTTAATTCAAAACATGTCATTTTGGAAGAACTTGTTAAATTCATCTAGGACTGTTACAGGTGTGGTTAGACTTATCTGAGGAGCCACGTCCTTCCCAAATCTACACTTTCAGAGCCACTATGGGGAAGAGTTGAGAGGAAGTTAGGAGAGGCAGCAATTATCTCTGTAGAACATTAGGTACATTGTTTGCATAAGAACTAATTTTTTTAGGGCCTACCCTGGTGGCGCAGCCGTTGAGCGCTGGGCAGCCTCTGCAGCACCAGTTCATTTCCTGGCTGCCGGCAAAGGTCCCACAAAAAAAAAAGAACTAATATTTTAGTTTTAGCTTTTAACCTCTGGGGAATACTCCCCAAGTCAGAAATGGCTACCTATTATAAATCTTACATAGCTGTACTTTAGGTGCTGAAGTATGAGTTACACCCCTGAGCAGTGGCGAGTTATTTTCTTAGTCTAGTCTTAGCGTTCATGATGGTCCAGCTTCCCTGTAAATTAGCCCCTGGAAAAATCTCGGTTCAATAATAGCTACTTGCATATTAACACTTAAACATCAAAATCAGTTCTCCACCAGGGGAATTCAAACGATGAATCAGAAATACATATACCAAATTTAGAATTCTAAGAATGCCCATTCTTGATCAGCTTACAATAAGTACAGAATTATATTAGTGGAAAAGAGGCTAAAGCACATGCAAGGTTTTTAAGAATTCTCGTCTATAAACAATGGCCCAGTGAATTGACTTTTCTATTCCATCTGATCTATTTTTTATGAACCTATGAAGATAAACATGTCAGAAAGAAAAGTGACCAAAAAAAAATGAGGCTGGTGTGAGAGGAAACTGCTGATTATGAAGTCGTCCGATTTTCCGTGCTACCCAGATGGGGCGGCGTGGCCAGCGCCTCCTAAGGGACTCCACTCGCAGCTGTTATTTGTGCTGTAGTAATTGCTGGGCAGCAGGGACACCAAGTGACCAGCAATGACTGGAATGAAGGGGTGGGGAAGGGAGGTGGGCTGTGCAGCACAGCCCAGAGGAACAGGCATATTTCTGCACAAATAACAACTCCAACATCAATTGTCTCAAGTAGAGTGTCCGACTGCAGCAAGCTTTCCAAAACAAAGGACTCATAAAAAGGAACTAAGGTAATTGCTGGAGATTACCAAAGGTTTATTTGGAATGACACAGCACTGAAAACATAATTGTTACAGATGACTTGTGGATACAGCATACATCATCTATTTTATGTCAGGACTATCTGTGAAGATGAACTGCATAAATATAGAGAGATGGAAATATATAGGAGCCTTTTTATAGTGTTCTTTTGGGTGGATTTATATGCCCCATCATCTAGCCAATCTCACAAAGGCAGAAGTGAAGACTACTCAGCTGCTGGTCCCAAGGAGCAGACCTCCAGTTCCAGGAGCCAGACAGCGAGATGCTCAGGCACTGCTTCCCCCAAAGGGACAGCCGCTCTGACATTCTGTTTGTCATTGCATCCTGAAAAATGCACATTATGAACACAGATACTGTTGACTGTTTTGGCAATGGGATGGCTGGTTTTGCCCTGAGGCAAAACTGCAACTGGAATGCCAGACAGAATAAGAGCAATGCATGTACCGATGACACTCCAGAGGCAAAGAGCTACAATGGAAAGAAAGGAAGCAACTATGTATATGTAGTTTGGTGCATACACATAGGTCCAGGAATGATGGGAACTAGCATGTGTGACTGTGTGTCCATATATATAGAGGTGTGTTGGAAAAGAACATTGAAAACATTTGCAGCAATTTCGTTTTTAAACACAGTAAACTTGAAAGGGAGAGAGAGCACGTGCTCACACCTGCGCAGGAGAATAAAATAACCTCATAATCTCATACTACAGGATAATTCATCACGTCTTCTGCAGGGCAGTCACTCAATACCACACACTTGATGCAGAGGAATTATGGTTCTGGTTTGGAGAAAACTACTTTAGAATTGGTGGGAGGGGATCAAGAACAAGAGTCTCCACAGCTTGGACAAAGCACAAACAAACCTGTTATCCATAAGGTGGGAACCAGAGAGGACTTTTTCCTTAACTTACTTTTTTCTCTTACATAGTTTTGCACACATGCTCCACTGATATGTCTTTCCACACTGTCTGACATCAGCCTGTAAATCATTAAGAGTGTAATAGCAAAAGTGAACTCCACAGGTTCTCGTGAAGGTTTAAAAACCCAGTAACCAGGCTCTGTCTACAATACTTTTGGGTCTAATCCAGGCGCCGGGTGAAGTTCTCTGGAAAGAGGCCTTTGTAGGTGGCAAGGTCTTTGTGCTGAAGCCAGTCTGACTCTTTCACTCCCACCAGCCAGCCTGCATCCTGAAAGACAAAGAAGGTGTTTTCAGGGTCCAAGTACTATTTCCAATTATTAAAGTCATTTAATTAATGCTGAGGAAGACCAGGATGTCACATTACATGAAATCGGTGGGAAGGCTTGTCACCAAAAAAAGAACCGATATTTGAAATTAATAGCTTCTGTATAAAGTACAGTTAACTGAAGGTTACTATCAATAAATTCATAGAAAGCACAGTTAATTGATGTTAGCTGGACTGTACTATGAGTTCTTAAAAAAATGGATTAAAATTCCAGCCAGTGTAAAGAGAGGAATACCACATGGAAACATGTCCCTATTCTGTGGTCACAGTGGATAAAAGGCTGGAGGACCCCTGGGTCAGAATGCGTGCTAACATGGCTAGGGAAGGCCTTGGAGACATCCCGGCTCACATCATGTAACCCAGACAAACCACCATAACCGGGGCCTTCTAACAGTAACAGCTAGATATGTTATTTACTGTCACTGTTGAGTTTGTTGGTGGTGTAACATCTAATTTTACAAATTTATATGAATGACAAAGCAATCTGATGTCTTGCCATTCTGGTCCTTCAAAAATTATCCATCATAAACACTTGTCTATCATATAGGGGTGTCGTAAAAATGAAGGCATTTGGTCACAGGAAGGGCCCATCTGTATAGGGTCAGACAGCATGAGAATTGATATGTAAAATGGAGAAATGGAGGCTGCTGTGTGCCTTTCGCATGCTGAAGATAAGCAGAATCTATGTGGAAAAGCTCAATTGAAGGGAAAATGTGAAACATACAAGCTGCGGGAAGCAAAATGAGTGGGAAATGACTATCTTTACTATGTTAACCAATACTGGAAAGAGATCACACTTAAGATGAGGGATGGCCAGATTTAATCTGGACCAATACTCAATATGGTTCAAGTACATCAGATAAAATGAGGTCTCAAAAATTAAATAAAGGAGCTGAATACATTCCCTTTTGATAAAATCTGAGACTATAAATTGATACTGTTATACAGACAAGAAATAAAAGCATTTAGACAGGCCATTTTTTGAAGGCAGAAAACAACACTAAGGGGAAAAAAAAAGATTCAATAAAATAACTGATAACATCCTTGCTGATGAGAGAGTGTCTTCTTTAAAATTATGATGCTTATATGTGAAGGACAAAATTACACTTAAAAGATGATAACTAAGTATTTTCTAAATCTCTAGTAAGTATATAAAAGGTCATTTCCCCCCCCCCATAAGTGTCTGTATTTGCCTTTATTTACAGTGAGTGAAAAATCTAATAGATCCAAGTAGAATTAAGCATTTTAAAATTGTTTCAGTCAATAAAGAAAAAAATAAAGGACTGGCACAAACCCATTATCAAGGTTTTCTGAAATACAATTTCTAAAGTGAAGAATATTAGCTAATATCAGGATTTAATTGAGGAAAATTAAATTTTAGCTGCCTAAAATAGGTGGTAGATTAAAGATCAGTTAATGGTAAAACAGCCTGTGTCGGACAAATACTTCTGCATGGAACAGTTATAAATTTAGAGTAACTATGTATCTATATATGCTATATAGACATATGCACACAAATATGCAACTCTTTATATAGATAAAATGACTATTTCTTATAAAATACAAGACCCTTCCAAACTGCAGTTTTGAAAGTCATGCCAGAAATTGAACAAAATTTTCAGGATTAAGCAGTATGTAAAACACATCTGGGAGATACTGGCAGTCACACATAAGTTTGTACTTTCTGGGGTTTCCTTGCCTCCAGGTGAACCATTGCAACCATTGTGATATGGTGATCAGGTCTTACTTAAGAACTGGCAGAGCGGAAATGCCCAAAACCAGCTGTGGGAGAAACAATCTGGTCCTGATGCTGTATTGTTAACCATACACACTTTCCTGAAGTTGGCAGGTATAAAACCTTGGGTACCTCATTCTAGAGAAAAGGGGGCCTCGAAAGATTACTGAAACCAAAACTCAATAGTCTTGTGAACCTTTGAGGACTTGGTAAAGGCTTAATCTTTTTCTTTTGGCAAATGTTGGCTGACTTGCAATAACTGTAAGAAATTTGGTGGCTTGCAACCTAATATTTTATGATGGAATGTCTTACCTTTTGTATTGTATATATTGTTGCTTGCAGATGTAACAATAGGGGGTTTTACCATAGAAATGGTAAAAAGAGGGCCCCCCTGGTGGCGCAAGGGGTTAAGCATAGCATTGTGAAGCTATCCTCAGCCTCTGCAGCACGAGTTAGATTCTCTGCTGGCCAGGGAGCTCCCCACATAGCACTGCAGACCTCTCCTGTCTCGCCCACTGCTCCCCTCAGCAGTGTCTTTCAGTCAGTCTGCCTGTTCTGTTCCCCGCTCTGTCTCTGTGAATTCTCTCACCCCCGCACCTCTGGCCTGCATCCCAGTTCTTGTATGCATAAATAAATAAATAAAAAAGAAATGGTGAAAAGAAATGAAAGTGGGGAAATTGAAACTATCCCCATAGCACAAGCTGTGGCAAAACTAGCTATTTTCTGCTGCCTCAGCAGCTGGGCAGGGCTTTGTTGGCTTTGTTGGCTTTGTTGGTCACCTGCAGCCAGTTCCCCACCCAGAGTTAGCCAGGTTTGAGCCCCACAGCCCCAGGGCTCTGGTGGCATCCCCTTGGGTGACAGCAGCAGTAATTTCCCCAACTGCCACCCAGGTGTGCAGCTTGTGGGTAGTGCCCAGAAGCTGGTGGTGGCCCTGTTGGGGCTCAGGCTGCCAGCAGAGGAGGGCAGTTGGTGGCAGGGATGTTGGTTCCCCAGCATCTGCTGCTGCCGAGCCCAGCTTCTAGACTGTTGCTGTGGCTGCTGTGGTGTCACCTGAGCAGCTCCATCTGTGAGCACCTTCAGCAGCCATTGTGAGTTGGATCCTGGCCCAGTGCTTCTGAGATGCCACCAGTTCCAGGATATCATGAAATATAAATTAAGAATTTATTCTAATTGTCAAGACAAAATTGAAACAGATCCACTGTAACAAAATAAAAAACAAACTTCTATGAATTTAAGGTAATTATCCCCCAGTTTAATGATAGAAGGAAACAATCTTTAGATACAGAAAATAGAACATAGACTATGTTTTATCCACTGTACCTAGTATCAACTGAAAAAATTACTAATCATGAGAAAGATAAAAAGCAAAGATAAAAAGCAATACAAATGAGCTCTGAGATAGTCCAGATTTTGGAATTAGTAGTAAGAAATATAAGGCAGCGATATAAATATGTTTAATAATTTGAAAGATGGGAATAATAAGAAGTAAACTTCAGCATAGAAATGGAAACTATATGAAAGAATAACAAGGAACGTATAGAGCTGTGTAAGTATAACATCTGAAATGAAAATGTCACTGGATAAGGTTAATAAGAAATTCAAAGTGACAGCAGAAATTCAAAGTGACAAAGCCAAATAAATTAACAGATCCAACTGAGTACAGAAGAAATACATAATGAACAAAGAGAACAGAGCTTTTAGACATGGAAATGTCTAAGGTATGTATAATGAGAGACCAAGAGAAAAAGAGGAGAAAAAAGTAAAAAAATAGCCAAGAATCATCCAAATGTAGAGAAAAATATCAGGTTATAGGTGCAAGGAGCTCAGAAAATTCCAACAAGAAAACTACAATGGGCCTCCCTGGTGACCTAGGGGTTAAGTCTTAGCACTACAACCACTAGGGCCTGAGTTTGATCCCTGGCCAGGGAGCTAACCCATATGGTGCAGCAGACCTCTCCTGTCTCATGCACTGCTCTCATTAGCAGTGTATTTCAGTAGGTCTGCCTATACTGCTCCCCACTCTGTCTCTGGCGAATCTTCTCACCCCTGCCCCCATAACTCTGATCTATACCACATTTTTTCTATACACACATAAAGAAAAAAAGCTACAATGAAAAACAGCTGATGAAAACCATAAATAGAGAGAAATTCTTAAAAGAAGTCAGGGAAATAGTCATATTGTATATAGAGAGATCATGTAAAATAACAACATTTAATTTCTAATATAAACACTAGAGACTAAAAAACATCTTTAAAGAGTTGAGAGGAAAAAAGTTAACTCAAAATTCCTGCTCTAGTAAGAATATCTTTATGAATGAAGATAGAGATATTTTCTGATAAAAATTAAGAGGGTTTGGGGCCGCCCCTGGTGGCGCAGACGGTTGAGCACTATGCTGTGAGGCTGTCCGCCACCTCTGCAGCACCAGTTCCATCCCGGCCAGCGAGGATCTCACATGGTGCGGCAGACCTCGCCTGTCTTGCCCACTGCTCCCCTCAGCAGTGTATTTCGTCAGTCTGCCTGTTCTGTTCCCTGCTCTGTCTCTGGTGTGTCCTCTCACCCTCCCGCACATGTGGCCTGTACCCTGGTTCTTATATAAAATAAACAAATAAATCTTAAAAATATTAAGAGGGTTTATTGTCAGCAGATCATAGGAATTGGTAAGGCAAGTTTTTCAGGCACAAAGGAAATGAGACAGTTATATATAAGAGCATTGGACAGGCTAATACAGTGGTAAATATAAAAGACTATTCTCCTAACTTCTTTAAAAGATAACTTATGATTATTAAAAAAAGGTTTATAAAATGAGGTTTTTAATGATTATGACATGTAGATGCTTTTTTACTGATATAATTTGTGCTTCATCAAATTTCTCTTAAGGAATATTTATAGTTTAAAAAGTTTATTAATTGTTTCAAAGAACTAACTTTTAGATTTATTGGTTTTTCTCTATTGTTTCTTTTTATTAATTTGCTTGTAAATGTATTTTTATTTTTCTCTTTCATCTATACACATTGTAGTGTACTTGATCTCTTTTTACCTTTTTATCTAGTCCATGGATATAAATGCATTTTTTAATTTTTTGCATAATTGGGGATTTCATAGCCATATAATTGGTACTAACATTTAATTAAATTTTATTGTGGAGAGGCCATTTTGTTTGCTTGACCCAACACTTGACTACCTTGAGATTATGGATATTAGCTCTTCTCTCCAGAAAAACATGTTAATAGCTACATTTGCACATTTTGCACACCATTGCAAAGGTGCACAAATTCTGTGAACAAAAACAAAATGGAATTCTCAGCACCTTAACCACTATGCTCACAGGTAATTTTTTTAAACTGAGGTATTTTTTTTTTAATTGGAGTAACATTGCATTATAACATTATGTAAGTTTCAGATGCATGTCATTGAGAATCAACATTATATACTCCATGTTCTTTTCCTACTCTCCCAGATACAGCTACTTTAGAAGGGGTTTTCATTCATGGATATTGTCTGCATTTCCTGAATCAAGGATGAGTGTTTCAGAGGTACTGTCCCTAAGATGTGGATCCAGAGTGAGAAATGATCATCTACTTCTATAAACAATATAGCAGCATCCTGAAAGGGGCACCCTGCAAACCTAAAGTTAGTGACATGCTGTGGCCTTGCAGCATCTCAGAAAATAGAATTGTCTTCAGGAAGTCACTGTGTCCAACAAACACTCAGAAAAAAACAATAGTAAACTTCAGCACCTTTCAATCTCATCCTTTACCTGGTCAGCTTCTGAATCCGAGGGAACCACCAACACTATGTCACCCCTTTGTAAGGTAAGTTCATCAGAATTTGCTGCCTCGAAATCATGCAGTGTTTCCACCTGCAAAAGAATGCAAAAGGACTGATTAATTGTAAAAAGAAAAGAATACATAAAATCAAAGTCTCCCAACCAGATTATCAGCAGGGGCTCCTAGAGCATCTCTAAGCTGGATAAGAAAGATGAAGATACATATTATGCTCCAAGGAAGGAGAAAAACTCTGAAAACATGAGATCCTTTTCTCTGTTTACTTAAAACAGCCTATTCTTACAGACTGAGACTCAGACCACTGGGTGTATATTTAGTGATACAATGCCTCCTGCAATGGCTAAGATGTAAGTGCATTCATCAAATTGTTACTCATGTTTGCAAGAGATTCACATTTTATTATAACCAATATGTTATCATTGTTTATTTTTTAACCTGAAGTAAAAATATTTAACAAACAGTTCTTCTGACCCGGCTGCTAATGAATAATTAGTAATTGAGAAAACCATCACTTGCAGATTATAAGGAATCACTGTTTAATAAGAGCCTGTGATCATTTTTTTGTAAAGAAACTTCTTCTTCCCCTATCCTATTCTTTAAACCATGTCAATTTGTTCTTCTCTTTTTTTCACCCAATTGAATATATTTAGCATAAAACAATGTGTAAATTTAAGGTGTACAATGTATTAATTTGACACATTTATATATTATAAAATGGTTGCCACGATAGCATAGTGCTTCTATCACTACATAACTATTATTTCTTTTCAGTGGCTGGAATAATTAAATTTGAGTCTTAGCAAGTTTGACGATTACACTACGATAAAGTGGTCTGTATTCACTATGCTGTGCATTAGAGTTCCAGACTGTCAGTACTACTCATTCCAAGTTACCCTCAATCAACATCTACCCTGTCCCCCCTCCTTCCTTTTCCCTACAGAAAAGATTTTTTTAATATTTGACAATAAAACCTAAAATAAAAATAAACAAAAGGAGAAAGAACAGTGTAATGAATCCATGCAGGCATCACCCAGCATAACTATTTAGCCATCTCCCTTCCCTCAACATTACCCCAAAGATTAAGTAATCAACTTCTGTAATTGATATTTTGCATGTAAAATCATAAAATGTCAGAGCTGGACATGACTATCTTCCCCTCCATTATTTTTCTGATGAGAAAACAAAGCCAGAGAGAGGGGTTAAGTGATGTCCTCTGTTCACACTGCAAAGAGGAAGCCAGGGAATGGCAGGCCAGCCTGCCTCACCTGCCACACCACACCCACACTGCTCAACCTCTGGTACCCCAGTAAGCAGGACACAGCAGACACAGGCCCTCAATAACTGCATGGCTAATTTTCTCAATTCATAAATCGATTATACCCACTCTCTCCCCATTTGTAGTAGCAAGGTAGAGGATACCTCCTAATGAGGGAGAGGGAGGAGAGGAATGAAGAGAGAGAGAGAAAGATAATGACCATTATGATTCAATTCAGCTCCCACAAACAGACACAAATTTAGCACTTTTAAAAAGAGCTGAATTTTGACATATAAAATCAAATTATGGAACTTAAAATCCCAACCATATTCTATTGAGGAGTATAGCTTGCCTTTAATACTTGGCTGAAGCCAGTATTTTTAGGTATTCAAAGGTTTCTGGAAGGGGTGGTAAGGACCCTTTGGTTACAGGCAGCAATGTTATGGCCTCTCTGAGCAAAGTTCCCATTAATATAGGCCTCTTTTTTCCCTCCCTTTCCTTTGAAGCCCTTTATTTATTCATTTATTTCTAAAATATTTACTGGCCCCTACTCTGATTCACTCATGGTAACAAGGTGCAGAGTTGACTGGATGACTGGAAGATGTTGGCTGCCCTTGGGAGGGGCAGGATCCTGTCAGAGAGCAGATGGCAGGAGGGTGTGAGGGCCTCCGAGCCCAGGCTGGAAGGTATCAGAGAAAAGCGCTGGGGTGAAGCAGTTTATCGGCTCACTATCAAGGGGCATGGCATTCATTTATTGGCTGTTAAAATATGGAAGAACATGACTGTAGTTCTTGCAATGTCAGCAGCACACAAATCCTGCCATTTTACAGCAGGAGGACAAGATGAAGGAGAAAGCAGTACAGAGGAAGAATATACTGCAAAAAATGGAAGTAAATTTGGAAAATGATCGGTCCGAGCAAACGGGCATTAAAACAAAGGAAGAACAAGTGGCCACCAGATTAAAGAAATAAAAAAATAGAAAGACCTTGTAGAGAAAGCCAGGAGGCATCTCCTGAGAAGCCTCGCTTGCAGACTGCGCAGAGGGCGCCGGCTGGGGGGCCTCACCCGCCTTCTGCTCAGAGGCCGGCTCTGGCATCTCGCTGGGAAGAGTGGTGTCATCGGTCACTTCCTTGGACGCTGCACCTATGGTGACTTCATGTTCTCCCTCCCCTTCGTGGTTGGAGGCAGGCTCTATGACGACAGAAGGGATGACCTTCTCCTGGGGGAAGAGAAATGGGATGGTCCTGAGCAGGCCTGGGAGGCACGATTTTGCATCTCCCCTTGCCGGCTCTTCCCCCCACTTCCCCACGTCCCCCTTTCCACTAACACCTGCTGCTTTCCAAACCTGACTCGGCCTTTCTGCTTTCATGTCTTCCACCAGGTGGGACCTCCCAACTGACATCACCACCCCTCTCTCTCCAGAGACAGAACCGTGTCGTGGGGTCAGGGACACAGGACATGCAGCAGGATGCCGAGGATGGTGTCACTTTGCAGATGTCCATTCTTGCCCCACAGGATATTAACACTGGCTTGAAACTTCTTGGAAGTGTGACTTTTCTTCTCCCCGAGTCCCAATGGGATTTCCAAATAATCCAAAACCACTTGGTAAAAGTGTGGCCTATGTTTGGAGACCATCGACTTGCCCACCGCTTGGTGTTCATCATTAGAGCCAAACCGCTGCAGCGAAAATTTCAGGGGTTAAAATTCCCACCAGGCCCACTAAGTAGTCTTTTGTTGGTGGCCAGAGTAGAAGCAAAATATCAAGACCTCCTTTTTATTTTTTAATAAAGATGAACAAGGAGGGGAATCTGGAAGGGGAGGTTGTTGATTGCCTTTTGGATTAAGTTACAACTTCCCTGGACACAAATGCTTCCATTCTCCAATTTGGAGAAAATAATACCCTCTTTCCAAATACAACAACATATACACATATATTCCTGGCATGATGCCAAGAAAGTCTAATGCAAAAGTCCAATACCCACTGTTTGAAGGGGAGAATTCACTCTCAAACTTTCAGTTACCCTGGACAGATTTTTAGAAATTTATTGTAAGTAAAACAATCACTGTTAACTCTAGTGTACAGAAGCAGCAAACGTGGAGTTCAGAAGAGCTGCCCTTTCTTTGACACCCGGGTTTGAGGCCCCTGAAGTCATGGAACATACAGACGTGTGGCCTTGGCTTGCTTCTCTGAAGTGAAGATTTGGAGTTCACTCTAACTGCATGTGTGTATTTAATGACTCCCTTTCCATTTGAATTTTACAACACAGAGTGGATAACTGGTGAAAGATGCTGAATGGTGAATTTGGGTCACGTTAGTACTAACCACAAAATTATAGCCATGATATGGTTTGATCACTGATATTGGGTTCTCGCCATGTACTTAGCACTAGGTGAAGTACATTTATGGCCATTTTCTCATTAAACCTGTTCAACAACCCTATTATTTTTCTCTTCCTCTTCCTGCCAGTCTTACCCTTTCACTATTGCATTTCATTTTTTTCTCCAGCACCTTATTCCATATTTCCTTTTCCCCTATCTGTGCTTAAACCCAGTCCACTCTAGTATTGGGGGCCCATGTGGGATTTCAACACAGATATTGAGAGAACATAGGAATCATTCATTCTGACAATCGAATACATACATATTTTGGTGGAGTGGGGAAACATGAAATGGCTACAAACCTGATTTGCATCTAAAAGAGACGTCCCCATTATCCAGCAGTGTTCTGGCTCCAGCACCACCTCTGCAGAGCCTCCATGTACAAGGACACTCACCTGTGGTGCTACTGCTTCTGTGTCTTCTTCTGGCTGAGGTCGGTCACTGTCTACAACCTCTGTGGTTTCAGTATCCACCTTCGCCTCCTCTGCACTTGCTCCTTCCCCGGCAGGAAGTGCTGCCTGCTCTGGTTCAGCTTCCTCCACTGGAGCCCCTTCAGCTGCTGACACCAAGGTTCCAGCAGCCACATCAGCTTCAGTTCCAGGTGTGACCTATAAGCCAGAAACCAAACAGGCATGTCTGTATCTCCACAGGCCTCGACAGAGTCAGCTTAGCCCTTCTGCTTCTCTCCCCTCTGCCAAGGCTCACCAGATTTCCCAGCTTTCTTTGTAAAGGTCAGATGCCCAGGATTCGGATACAACACAGTCTGCCAACTCTGACTTTTCTCTTCTTCCTGGGCACCCAACAATCTACCCTCCTCAGGTTCCCCTGAAGTGAGTTGTTGCAAATGGAATTTGAATGCAAGTGACATAGCATTCTTAAAACATGGCTCTTAAGGTATGGGTGGTCTCTCCACAAGCTATTTCTATTTTTGTGGTATGAAAACAGATGACAGCAAGACCCTAGAGGACAAAATGGAAGCGTTCTGGGCCTGATTCCTGGGTTATGAATGAAAACCACAAAAAGCATCCTCAACGTGCAGAGTCAGGATTTAGAAAAACTGTATTTCAGTATAAACTTCAACATCTTCATGGGGAAGGTCCCAGAAGCTAAATCACATTTATGGAAACAAAATTAGGGAGGCTTCTCAATGAGATGCCTTAAGAATGAAAAGAAAATCTTTTTTTAAAAATCAAATATGTATTATAATAAATGCCAAATCAGATTCTGAATCCTTTATTGAGAGGAGCAAATCAGAAAAAAATGAAGGTTTTGGTTCTAAGGTTAGAGCACTGTCCAAAGAAAAGCTTTTAAGCAATAATGAAATACAATAATGATGAAATACAGAAAATGTAATCAGAAATTTTAGTTTCAAGCAAATTGGTTATGGAGTCCAAGTCTTTAATGAGACTCTAACATCAGCATGGCAGACTTGATTTGAGAGGTTTCAATAGGAAAGACGGAGGAAGGAGAGAATTCGATTGATCTTATATAACACAACCAGGATACATATTTCAAAAATTGATCTTGCTTTTTGATGTGATTAGCATTAGCCATTCATTTTCTTTATTGAATAAGTTCAATCAAGTTTGTCCTATTAAGTTAAGAAAGTCCTGCTTTTGCAGATACTAAGTGTCAAACCCAGAATACCGAAAAGGGCACTGGGAGTGCTTGTCGAGTGGGTGCCAGAGATGGGAGATGGAGAAAGTGGAAACCCACCTAAAGTTAGAACAAAGCATGTAAAAAAAAACCCAAACCACCTTATTTATAAAAATAACCTGTTGCAGAATTAATTTTTCTGCAACATATTTTACTTTGGGGATGACAAATGTTAACATCTATACTATATGTTACACAGCCAAGTAGTACTCATATTCTTGGAAATTTACTACCCTCTTATGAGCCGCTCGTATTATGAGAATTTAACTCTCCATGCAAGGTGTGCAATGATTCAAAATGTAGTCATGAGCCATGAGATAACATTTTTTCTACCCTGTCAATAAAGCACTTGGGGTTCAGAAAAATAATCCTTTCAGCACAAAACATACTTATTTAATGTGAATTATAAATAACGATAATTATTGAAATAGGGTAAATGGTATGGGGGATTTACATTCTGGTGAATGAAAAAATTCTCACAATAAAAAGTTTATTTAAAAATTTAAGAATATTGCATCTGTTTTAAGTAAACATTAGTTTTTAAATGGAGGTTACTGTTGCCACCATCAAGAGAGTAGTAAGCAGAACATAAATTAGGAAAGGATCTAAATTCCAAGAACAATGACTAATTACACTTAGCATTACTGTTGGAAAAATCAACAGGCTTTGCCCAGGATCCAAAGGACCCAGTTTCTTCAACCTTAGAAGAAACTATGCATGAAGACAACATGCATGTAATGGGCCCATGGGCTCAAGTGTAGAAAGCAAGTTGTTTTGTGTCCTCATAATTCACATTTTTTTTTGTGTGTGGGAACCTTGCCGGTGGCCGGGGATCGAACTGGCGCTGCAGAGCTGCAGGCAGCCTCGCAACCCAGTGCTCAACTGCTGCACCACCAGGGGAGGCCCTTTGTATCCTCATAATTCTAAGTTATTTATGTTTTCCAGCTATCTGGAAAATCACACCAAATGAGGCAAACATCCCATTGGTTTTAATAGCTTTGAAATCGATGGACTATATACACATGCAGGCATGTGGACACCTGGGCAGCATGGAACACTACACACACATATATAAACATACATATTGTTGTGGATCAAAAAGCTGCCATTATATTATTTAAGAGGCTACTTCTATCAGTGACTATATATGTGTGTGTGTGTGTGTGTGTGTGTGTGTGTGTGTGTGTGTGTGTGTGTATATGGCCTCCCCTGGTGGTGCAGTGGTTGAGCGCTGGGCTGCGAGGCTGCCCGCAGCCTCTGTAGCGCCGGTTCGTTCCCCGGCCGGCAGCGAGGGTCCCACACACACAAAAAAATATATATACACACACACACACACATACGTATGTACACACACTTCCATAGGTATAAAGTCCAACTACATATTATTAGTCATTGGATTTTCCAGTGAACTGATATATTTCCAGAAGAAAATATATTTCTGTCAAGTACTGATGGTGTGGCAAAGGTAAAATTTAAAATTCACTCCATACAAATAGACCATTAACAAAGAGTTCTTAATTTAGCTCTTGATCTCCATCTATTAATATTGTTTTGTATCAGATTTTGCCACCTCTCCCTTGCTAAATAAACAGGCATTCATTATGAGCTGGACCTGATTTAGACAGAACAGTGTGTAACTGTGATGCCAGCCACCAGCAGGTGGAGACCAAGGGCTCTGTGCACTGATGGTCATAGACCTCACAGAAGCAAATAACAGAGAGCTTCAGCACTTCAGCATTTACCGGATCTCTGTCACAAAGAGGGGAATGGAACAGGTGGAAAACTGTTGATAAGAATGATGGCAAATAAAATTCACTAAAAATGGAAATGAACAATGCTGGCAAAGGCAGGGTGCTAAGGAATCTGGCACTTACACAAGAAAAGTCTTAACAATTTGAATGATCTAGAGAAGGGGAAAAAGTAACTTTTCACATTTTTCTGAGTCAATGAGTGATGAATTCCTATTTCTATAGCCACAATGAGCACTCTGAATTTACAGAGCATAAACACATTACAGAAGCATGGACAGACTATCGGCCACTGCGCTCCCTCATTTTTCTGCCTCCAGCAGCGCTCTGGTAATCAGGTGGCCCCATCCTCCCCTTATACCTGGAATCTGGTCCATATTTTCCACTCTCATCAAAATATTTCCATTTGATTTACTGACTGAAATAATAGAACAACATAAAAATGCAACAGAAAACAGGAATTCATTTGCTCAGATTAGGTGTTAGGTCTAGGGAAAAAAAATCAAAGAAAAGGATTTCAATGATAGAATTACTCCTCTTTTCACTATTAAATGTATGCGTTCTGATTTGTCACCTCTTTTCAGATTAGAAAAGAAAAACTTTTTAGACTCTTTTCATGTAGATGTTACACATCTAGGAAAAACCACTATGATAAATGACTAGTTTTATTTTTAAATGATATCCAGGGAGACCAGAGGATTGAACCCATTTAAAGTATGTCAAGCCTTTGATATTCAGTGCTACTGCATTTTTTTTCTTTACTCCAAATGTCAACAGAAACACCATTATCTTCTTTTTGGCCAAAACTGTGCTATCTGTTGGCCAAACAAACTTATGGTGGGAAACATCCGAAGATAAGAGAGATTTAAAAAGTTCTCCCTGCCCTTGAGCACATGTCCACAAGGCACAAGCACCCCATCTATTGCAATCTGCACATTAATCACACAGAAATCACAGCTAGCTGGTGAAACCAGCTCTCCCTCACTGCACCATCTACATCTCACTGTTTTTTTACCTTGTGCTCAACAACACCCTATTAATACCTATTTCTCCAGCCAGAAAGTAATGTGGTCATAGCATTCATGTCAGATTCCTTTAAAACACCTAATTCCATTAGCAAAATTTCCTGTAAATGGAATTAAATGAATGCAGTAGTGTCAGTGTCCTGCTAAGTAGGGAAACAACTGAGTGACAAAACAACTGAGTGACAAAACAACTGAGTGACAAAAGCCCCACCAGGACACGGGGCTATCTATGACAGCAGGTGCAGAGATGGCAACCCCACACACGGCCGCAGAATTGGTCATCTCTGGACTTTGACTTTATCCATTCACTGTTTGCTTTCTTGGCAATATTATTAGTAGTTCTGACAATGCCTGAAATGCAGATTGCCACTTGTGTAAGTGTCTGAATTCCAACAACAGAAGAGATCCCCCATGTGACATTCCATACTTATCCATACAGGAATTTTAACTGAAAATAGGTATTTTTTTCTGATTAAAATATAATGGGTTGGCCTCGCTGGTGGCACATGGGTTAAGCACAGCACTGTGAAGCTGTTTGCAGCTACTGCAGCATGAATTCAATCCCTGGCTGGCCAGAGAACTACCCACATGATGCAACAGACCTCTTCTGTCTCGCCTGCTGCTTCCCTCATCAGCAGATTTTCAGTCAATTTGCCTGTTCTGCTCCCCACTCTGTCTCTGGTGAATCCTTTCAATCCCTGCACCTCTGGTCTGCACCCCAGTTCTTATGTGCATAAATAATCTTTAAAAAATCATAACAGATTTAAAAATAATGAAATAACCTGTAGCATCCTTTTGATATAATTGTTTTTCTTTGCTTTTCTATACTTACCTGGACCTTGTCTATTTCACAACACACAAGTCATGCTTCTTAGAAAAATTCTAACAATGATGATATGAAATAAATGCTTTTTCTATTAAACAATTTTATCACTGAACACTAGCTGATTTTCAGTTTTTAAATGTTGATTTTCAGTTTTTATAAATTACACTGTAAAAAAGATCTGGGTTTGGAACCATATTTACAGCAATTAAGCAGATTATACACATCTAAATGATTAAAACACTAAGTATTGTTCTCTTTTTCATGTCCTTACTGAAGACATTTTTTGGCTTTTCCCCAATATTTCACTATGAAGAAAGTTAACATTGATAAAAATGGAATCATACAAATGAATA